ACTGTCAAGTTTACAGTGAATGTTAACACAATAAATTATACTTTCCAGTATAAGTTTCCAGCTTAGTTCATCACGGATGTATTTTGTTATCCACACATATAATTGTTTTATATTTGAACCTACACCTGCAACAGTCAAAGACAGGCAACTGTTGAGGAGTTGGAAAGGTCTCTTACAGTTCTTCTTGGTTTTTCATATTCTAGTATTTCGTATCATGGATCTCCTACTTTCCCCTATTTTTGTATGCTAAATATAAGCATATTCAACAAAAAATGCCAATAACGTGCTTTTACCACTACGGCGGTGGCGGCGGGTTTAAAAAACTGTCAATTTACAGTGATGTTAACACAATAATTATAGCTTTCCGTATAAGTTTCCGCTTAGTCATCACGGATGCTATTGTTATCCACATATAATTGTCTCTTTATATTTGAACCTACACTGCAACAGTCACAAGACAGGCAAACTGTTGAGGGAGTTGGAAAGGTCTGAAGATGTTACAAATAAGGTACACACAGCATACAATGCCATAATAACTTTGTATTATTAGTGTAGGACACTTATGTATGTATAACATCTGAAGATGTGTAGTTTTATTCATGTTTTCCGGAACTACCCTAGTGGAAACGAAACAAAAAACGTGCCGGTTTGGCACGGCACGCTTAAACCGTGCTACGCGCTGCAGTGGAAATGCGCCATAACTGACCTCAGTCCCTCCCTGCATATTTGTTGAGCTAAATCTAAACATGTCTCCTCTAAAAATACAGCATGTTTAATTTGTTCCTTATTCTCAAAATATCTACTGTTTCTTGTAGTCCCATCCCTCACATTGAATGTATTCCCAGCTTCCTTGCCAAAGTTACTGCTATTCTTCCACAACCTCCACCCCAACTTGTCCTCTCATTCACACTCCCCCTCCCTCGACTTTCCTTGCCTCTTTTTATCTGCCATTCTTGTTGTTTGAATTGTCTGTCTGGCTCTATTGGACTAAGCAAACAGAGATGCTACACTGTTCTCGCTTGTTATAAATATTTATGATGCGTCTCCCCATTCACCCCTCCATCCCCTCTCTCTTCCCCTTTCCCGTCTCACTCTGAGATGTTCTCTTCTCTTTTTTCTCTTCCTTCCCTTTTTTATCTCTGAGATACACAGGAAGAAACTTGCAGGCTCATGGAGGAACCCACTGACAGAGAATAAGAAAGAGAAGTCGAATGGTGTTCAAAAACACCATGATCTCACTTCCACTGTCAGCGTGTCACTACGTGTCACTCTGAGGGGTCACATCAGAGCTAATGGTAGGTTTGTTAATGTGTAAAGTCGGTCATTACTCACCTCTGAATTCCTCCATTTCTGTGAGAAAAAAGAGAAAGCGTAGCTCGTGTCAATATTAACACAAAAGTAACACATTTTCTTTGGTCGACCTTAAAAATGTGTTTATCATTGCAGGATGTATACGAATCAAATCTGACATCTTCTTGTAATAAACTATTATACCTTATAAAGAATACGTACGAAATGATGCAGCATCTAAAAATATAACCTAAGTTAACTCATTATTTATTTTATAATTACTAATTGATTAGTTGAAAGAATCATGCCAAAGCACCACTTTTAATTTGGTTGTTTGACAGATATTTGCTTACAAGTTTCTTAAAGAAAACTCATTTCTGTATTTAAAAAAAGCATTTAAAGTACTACTCAACAAATACGGCATATTCAATGATTTTTATTTTTTAAGTATGTTTTCACTTTTTTTTGGCACTCACCAGGAGTAATAAGGGTCAGGGTCTGTGTGGGGGTCCAGGGTCCTTGCCCCACCCCTGTATAGGCACACACTCGAAAGGTCACATTGGACAGGGGGACAGACAGATTGATTGACAGCTCGGTGTCCAATCCAGTGTCCACAACAAACTGTCAACAGAAGACAAGAGGTAGTCAGGATCAAGCAGATTTATCATCTTCATTTATAGGATGAACAATGTCAAAATGTTTGCATGGCGCCTCATACCTGCTGAGCGTTGGGGGCGCTGTACTCCACCATGTAGCCCTGCAGTTCTCCATTCAGCTTTCCTGGGGGCCCCTCCCATGTCAGCAGCACGTCTGTCCCGTTCAGCACAGCGCTAACGTTAACGGGCGGGTGATCTGGCACTGAAACAAAAAAAAACGAGTTTCAATTTTCAAACTTTTATACCGCTTTTGAGTTGTTTGTCAGATTGCATAAGCAGGGTGTGACTGTGGGGTTGGTGGCCAGGGGCCAGTGTGTCGGGGGGGGGCGTGTGTTGTTTTGACAGCCTGCAGCCTCCAGGGTGTGGAGAACTACAACAGCTGGAAGGGGAAGATGTCAGGGAATGTGAGGAATTCAGCTTTATAAGGACAAAAAAGGCTTGCTGATGGCACCGCAGAGTGGGGCGATTAGCTAGTTCAAAAGCCACGGTTGGAGGACCTCAAACGGATAATTGCCGGGGCCCCTGCCCGCCTCCTCCAGGCTGTCCATCCCTGTTTCTGCCTCATTCTCTCGCCTGCCCTTTTCTTTTCTGGCTTTCTGGAGCAGAGAGTGAAAGAAAAGGGCTGCTGGCAACAGAAATCCCCAGTGGAGAGAAAACCTTGCTGAATAAAATGCTAGAAAAAGTGTGAGGAATTTGTGTGTGTGTTTGTGCACGTGTGTGTGTCTGAGATTGATACTGTGTAAGACACAAGAATCCAAGAACCTTTTCACAAGGAGACGACAGTGCTCATTTCCTTTGTAGCCGTCTGAGTTAGGGCTCTCTTTGTCTTTGCTTCTCACTTACTCTGCAGGCTTAAAAAGTCACACAAACTAACTGGACACACACACACACACACACACACACACACACACACACACACACACACACACACACACACACACACACACACACACACACACCCACACACCCACACCAAGTCAGTGTGAGTTTGGGGAACATGGCCCAGCCTATATGGATGATGTTATCAGGAAGCATTTGGCAGATGATTGTTTCCACATGCGGTCCCTGCTCTGCCTGCCAGCGAAAACAATTCAAGCTCGTTCCAGAAGATCGTCTCCACCTATGATCCGTCATCTGTGCCCCCCCGCCCCTTTCTCTGCCTTCTCCTTCTCAATCCCTTTGTTGCCTTTCCTCTCCCTGTCTTCAATCCAACATTACTCGATCTCCTTCTTTCCAAGTTGTCTTCTCCCTCGCTGCCCCCTCTGCTGTAAATATCTCTTTTTTTGTCACGGGGCTATGAGTTTAAGAGAAGTAAGCCTTGACTTAGAGATTTGTGGAGGAGGGGGAAAAACGCAAAAAAAAGTTCCAGTTGAAAGGTTTGCGTAGTTTCAAAAGGAAAAAGTAATGTGCTGTTTGTCTAAAATGCAGAAACTACAGATTAATATTTGTTTCCCAGGCTCGGCTTGGCAAGAGGCTGAGAAACACTTTGGAGTCACAATTAGTTTCTCAACAGAAGAGGTTAACATCTGCATCCATGGCAGACTACTGTTTCACATCCTGTTTAGTGCTGCAAATGTAGAAGCAGTGTCGGATAACCATGCTTGGAAGCGTTTGGACTCAGGACTGCTCCTGGGTCTCCATCTCGTCCTCTCAGTTCTCCGGGGGGGTCAACACGTGGATGGAAAAGGGTCACCCTGAAGCCAAATATTGACTCATACCCCGGAGATCTGTTCTCCATAAATCAAAAACTATGTCAGCACTACACAGGAAACATGTTTCCCTGATCACTCCGAACACGAATTTTCGTGTCATCAAAAAATGTCACAACATTTATGGACATCCACTTTGATTCATTCGTGGTGAAACACACTGTTGTCTGTCTTCAGCAAATGGAGCCTTTTTTTACTGGCAGTGGTATTAAATAGGATTACATATGACACGTGTGTGTTGTGCCACGTCTCCATGACTCACTCCTATTGGAATGGTGAGTTTGGTTGTCCGGTGACTCTGGATTCAATGTAGCGTCACTTTAGGGGTACAAACAGATGTGTGGAGGGATTAAGGAGTGCCTTTTCGGAATATAGAAGTGTGTCAAAAGAACACAAAAACTTTTGTCAAGTGCCTCGCCTATTTTGTTTTGCAAAGATGCTCTGAAGAAGATGTTAGATTGTTTTATTTGGATGTGCAAGCAGTGGTGGAAAGTTACTAAGTACATTAGCTCAAGATCTGTACTTAAGTTCACATTTGATTTCCCTTTTCTTTGCTGGAGTATTTTTATTTTATACTACTTTATACTTCTACTGAATTACATTTAGAAGCAAATATTGTACTTTTTACTCCATTACATTTATTTGGCATGTACTGTATGTATTTACTAGGTATTTTATCAATACAGATTTTGAAGATGCAGTACTTTCACTTGAAATGTATTATTTCTACAGTTTGATATATCGTTTTACTCAAGTAAATAATCTGAATACTTTTTCCACCACTGTGTGCAGAGATAATGCGTTTACAGAATGGATATGTAAAACATCATGTCGTTGCAGCTTTAGGATTAGGGGGTGATATGGGTCGTCTCGCTTCCTCTCCCACAAACCCCCTACCCCCCTTTCTGTTCTCTGGGGGAAATATCGGGCTTTGGGAAAACAGCTAAATTAGTGTTTTCTCAAAGCGCCCTCTTCCCTCGTTTCCCTGCTCCTCATCCATCCCCTGCCTTCTCCCACCATCGACCCCTTATTGTGTGTTTCCCACAGTGCATAGCTGTGTGCTCTTAGAAGGGAAATCACAGGTCATCTGAGGTCAAAAGAAAGGGGGAAATGAGCGATGATGGGGTGAAGTTGGAAGATTGGATTTAGAAAACAAGGTTTTGTTTGATGTTGGGAATAAACTCTGCGGTGCAGTTTGTAGGATTTGAGGTTCAAAGAGACTACTGCGACAAAATTAGAACAAAGAGGGAATGAAGGATGGAAATGAGAACAAAAAAAGCATGCAGGAGAAGAGTCTGTAATGAAGAGAAAACTCATGAATTAACCCTTAAATGGTTTCTGTGTCCTGTGGGATACAGTCATTTGACAGGCTATATGTCAAATGGGTGTAATATGGTGTAATATTGCTGTAACATGGGTGTAATAACAGTGTAATATGGGTGTGAGAAAAATGTAACATGGGGGTAAAATGAGTATAATAAGTTACAAAACTGTTCAAAATAATAGTGTAACATGGGAGTAAAGAGGAATAAAATGGGTGTAATGCGGGTGTAATAAGGGTGTTATGTAGAAAATAAAAAAAATATTGATAAGCTCATGTAACAACAGTGTAAGTATGGTGTAATATGGGTGTCAAATGTGTGTAATAAGGGTGTTATATGGTTGAAATAATAATGTAACATGTGAACAATGATGGAGTAATATGGGTGTACTACGGGGGATAATAACGGTGTAATAGGGGTGTATTCATCTGTAAAATGGGTATAATGTAGAATAAAAGCAAGAAATTAACTTCCAAAATATGTATATGTGAAAGCCCATTAAAGGGTTAAAGAGAAGGCATGGGAGCAAATGGAAAACAAATGGGAAAACACTTCAGTCCCAACAATAGAGCCTTGTGGGAGTTTAGGCACAGCATTGAAAACAAAGAGATAGAAGTGGAAAATATGTCTGAGCTGTGAGCCTTCCTTCTTTAACCTCACTCCCTTTGACCCTCAGTGCCTCCTGAACTATCCTTGACCAGCAGCCAAATCTTCTGTTTTTCTGTTCATCCCCTGACTCATTAGAACAAATGAGACACTGCTGTCCAAAGGGACATTACATAATGTTGCAAAACAGAGGATCTTTTCCACAGAAACAAAGCCAAGCTTGCTACAACTCTGCTGAATAGAGTAGTGAAACTTGAAAATCCCGACTGTAGCAAGCTTATCTCAAAACCACTTTTTCTCCTTCTCTTTTATTACAAGTACTTCTCCATTTCCCTATTTCATGAGAAATGCCATGATAAAGTGCTTTCAGATTCTGAGCAGCTTCAATCATGGAAAGCCCCGATCCTGTGGCAGATCTCTCCTCTGCTGTTTCCATTCCTACTCGTCAGGGATAGAGACAGCATGAGCTGGCATGGAAAATCCCACCTCAGTTTAAAGTCAAACACTGCAGCCTGTACAGTTTGAACGGAGTGCTGCGATCCTAACTGAAGCCTTTCAGGAGAATTTAACGTCCCTCCCTCCCTCCCTCCCCACCTACTCTGTCTCTCCAATACCAGGCAGCCTTCTACCTCAAGAGTTTACATTTCAAAGATTGCAGAGGTACAGTGACTTAGGTCTGGTATTCTTCATAAACACAGACTTAAGTGGGAGGGGCACGGGAAGCAGTATTATGACTAACAGTGAAGCTGAAAAGCAGAAGTGTATTCACCACGAAATAAAGCTCATAACGGGGGAGAAGAATCAAGCGTGATAGTTAAGAGTATCCTTTTAGGCCTTTTACTGTCTATAATTAAGTGTGGAATAACCTTTTGCATTTACTTTTTGACTATTGCACCCTAGAGTCCCCTTTTGGGGACTTTTTGGAGCAATTGACAGCTGTTATTTAACCCAAGATATAAAACAATCACACATAGGAGATCAGATAAGAACACAGCTAGGGTCAAGGGTTAAAATGGCAGACACTCACAACAACTAACCACTGACCTGGGGCTTCTAGAAACAATAACAAATAAATAAGGACTAGGAATCTTGAATATTTCATTATTAGTCAAAATGTGTATTACAAATGTGTATCCACTTCATAACAGTACATTCCAACTACTGTATTTATCTGAAAATGAAAGCAGAAATTAGCTTCATACTTCCATAAATGAATCCTTTGTACAGACCAAATGACCCTTAAATGAGGCTCAACCATTCCTGCAGTTGTGCAGGGGGGGGGAGGGGGGGCTGTCAGTAGCCAGATAACACAGCCTTGACTCACTTCAGAGGAGCTGACTCCGCACTCACACATGCAGGATGAAAACAAACATCCTCTGAGGACTCACCTCCTTCTTTGGTGTGCAGCTCCACCCAGGGGGTCCAGGCGGAGGGGCCCTGGCTGCTGTGGCAGGCCACCCTCACTGCGTACAGGCTGTGGGGTTCCAGGCCCCCGATCAGGTGCGAGGCTGGGGGGATGTTCACGTTCTGATTGTGGATCATCTTATCTGGGCCTCCTGTGAAGGTTTCTCCCGAGTGTTTGGCCTGTAACATTCAATTGACAAACTTGTGTTGTGATTTTTCTCCATATTGATATGTTTATATTTAAATGCTATTCTGCTTTTTAGGGTTTTCCTTTTCCTGCATTTAAATAGTCAGCAAAAGCTCAAACCTGCCCGTCTTTATTGCTTCATGGCACAAACAGGAAGAGGACCTTGTTCTTCTAGTGCAAACGGATCTGAAACCAATGCTTTTGGCAATGGCATCTATTAGAATAACTCAATAAATCACTTTCAACATGTCTAGTATTACTAGTCAGAGCCAGATAAAACACTTAAACCATAGAAGTACAAGTGCATAGGAAAGACTGGTAGACAACCATTTACTTTATATGTTTGAATGTGCAAAGCAACGGGATTTAAAATGTAAGTGTGGTCTTAATAGATACAATCAATACTACCTTAATAGGATATTATCAATATTTTTTATAATCTACAAATTACCAATCACAGTTGGTCTGCAGGAACCAATTTTATGGAAAATAGTTAATGTTGCATCTATGATTAGATAAGAGAAACTTCCTGTTTTCTATATCAAAAACATGTGGTTGTCTTTCTCGGGAGAGAGACGCTCCAGAATGAAGGAGTTTGGAGTCCATGCTCTGAAATGGCAATGAAATGCTAATGGCCCAAATGTCGTAAAAACGTCTTTATTGTTGTTTGAACGTGAACCAGGCTCATTAAGGTGCACGGGAAGCAGAACCCGCCATCCAAAAATCCCAGGCAGAAACCTGCTGTCTCTGCAAACTCTCTGTGGTAAACATGTTTAAAGAGGAACATAGCGCATGCATTGCAGCAATCTTAAAACCACATTAAAGTCGCCAGTCAGGACCATTATGCTGGTGTTCATTATCAAGCTGCTCCTGCAGGCTGCTGGCTGCTCTTCACAGGGTGGGCTTACAGTCAGAGCCCAAAACCTAAATACAAATGAGCAGCCATACCAACAGATCATGTGTGTGTATAGCGCAAGTGCTGTTGTACTCTGCTGATGATTTTACAGGATCCGTACTCACTTTCATGATTCTACATGTTTTTTGGGTTAATATTTATATTTAATTAAAAGAAAAAAATGATTATTTTTCCTATAGGCCTACTGTCCGTGTGAAACTGTTTTAGCACCTGTCTCTTTAAGAACTATTCCATTAAAAAATTCCAGTCTACTCTCATTGGTCAGTGTTTCCGTCTGTTCTGCATCTGCGCACTGGTCGTGACTGCAACTACAATGCATATGTGGACAAAATGTGTAAGTATCATACATCAGAACAACCTTCCGCACCAGTCTGGTTTCAAGGCAGGTTCAACAGAAACTGCTCTCCTTGCTGTCTCTGAGGAACTGCACACTGCTAAATCAGCATCCCTCTCCTCTGTCATCATCCTTCTGGACCTGTCTGCTGCATTCGATACGGTGAACCATCAGATCCTCCTTCGCACTCTCCAAAAACTTGGAGTTTCAGGCACTGCACTTTCCCTCCTCACCTCATACCTCAAAGACCGCACCTACAGGGTAACTTGGAGAGGGTCCGAGTCCGACCCTTGTCAACTAACTACAGGGGTCCCTTAGGGCTCTGTTCTTGGTCCCCTCCTCTTCTCCTTGTACACAAACTCGCTCGGATCTGTCATTAGCCCGCATGGTATTTCATACCACTGCTACGCTGACGACAGCCAACTAATTCTGTCCTTTCCCCGCTCAGAGACCCAGGTCGTTGCACGCATCTCTGCTTGTCTAGCTGACATCTCTCAGTGGATGTCTGCTCACCACCTCAAGCTCAACCTTGACAAGACTGAACTGCTTTTCCTTCCGGGAAAAGATTGTCCCACTCTTGACCTAACAATCAACATCGGCACCTCTGTTGTTTCCCCGACTCAGACTGCAAGGAATCTGGGTGTGCCCCTAGATAACAAACTGTCCTTCACTGCAAACATTGCTGCTACAACCCGCTGCTGCAGATACACTCTTTACAACATCAGGAGGATACGTCCCCAGCTGACCCAGAAAGCGACGCAGGTTCTGGTCCAGGCTCTCGTCATCTCACGCCTAGACTACTGCAACTCCCTCCTGGCTGGTCTACCTGCATGTGCCATCCGACCTCTGCAGCTCATCCAGAATGCAGCGGCTCGTCTGGTCTTCAACCTTCCTAAATTCTCCCACACCACGCCGCTCCTCCGCTCCCTTCACTGGCTTCCGGTAACTGCTAGAATCCACTTCAAGACACTGGTACTTGCGTACCATGCTGCGAATGGATCTGGCCCTTCCTACATCCAGGACATGGCTAAACCGTACACCCAGCACGTGCACTCCGCTCTGCATCGGCCAAACAGCTCGCTGCACCCACACTGCGAGGGGGACCCAGGTTCCCATCAGCAAAAACACGTGGGTTTGCTGTCCTGGCTCCAAAATGGTGGAATGAGCTCCCCATTGACATCAGGACAGCAGAAAGCTTGCACATCTTCCGGCGCAGACTGAAAACTCATCTCTTTCGACTCCACTTCGAGCGATAGAATTACTAACAAAGAACTGCTAACAGAGCACTTGTATACTAATAAAGGACTGGCTTATCTATAGCCAGTTGAGTAGCACTTGAAATGTTTGGCTCTATGAAACCTGATGTACTTATATGATTCTGTTTTCTTCAAGGTTGTATCTTCCTGGTCGAATGTACTTATTGTAAGTCGCTTTGGATAAAAGCGTCAGCTAAATGTAATGTAATGTAACATGTGTGTTTTCCAAAGATCTTATTTTCTGCAATATTCCAAATTCTGATGGGAAAATCCCATTGCTTTTTTTCGAGGGAGCCCTTAGGATTCTAACTTTCGGGACATTATACAAAAAATACTTCATCACTACACCACTAGTGAAACTTTTTGAGCATTAATATTATTTTATTTCGGAATGTGGGCAGCAGATTGAGCCTCTGATATTTGTAACAGTATTTATATAGCATCTATATCTGCTTTGTAATTAAAGAAATGGAGAAATGTAACTGTTTATAATACGGGACCTTTAAAAACAACATGACTATTGAGAGTTCACGAGTAGTGGGTGGTGCTTTTTAAGTAATATTAAGGTGTATGAATGAGGACTGTATGAATGTGTGAGAGAGAAGGAGCGAGTCATTCCTGTCCGGATGAATCACAGTCCAGCCCGTAAACAAGTGTATTAATCTAATTGTGCAGCTCAGCTCTGAGTCACACTCCAGCCTGCATTCCCTCAGCATGTCTCAAACCCACAATACCTGCTGTCTGGATGTTCCTGTTTTCAATAAGTGACTTTTGTTTTTGTCGTCTTCTGTCTTTGTTTCCCTCTGCCTTTCTTTCTGTCTGCTTTATGCTTCCTTTGTGCAGCAAAGTAACATCTTTCAGCTCTCTACTCCATACATTTTCTCATGTTTCTTTCCCCACACAATGGACCGTTAAATTCAGATTGTTGCCCCATTCTGCTGGAGCCGGCCCCTCGCCTTGTTCCCCTGTGAGGCTGAGGAGGGGGTTTTGAGGGGGAAAAAGGGAGGGGGGCAAGAACAGCAAGAGGTATGAGGGCAGCTTTATTAGAACCAGACGTTTAGGGGTGGTGCTGCTCCGCTCCCTTCTCCAGGAGAAACATTTCCCTTCTCTCAGCTCTGAGCTGTAATGGCCACAGAGCAGGATAGTGGCAGAGGGAGTGGTGCTACACAAGATTAGTCCAGGAGGCCACTTTCCCAGAGTGAAACCTGACCCACTGGGACATGAATAAAGCAGGGAGGGGTGGAGGATGAGTTAAGAGAAGAAAAGGAAAATAAATCTCTCTTTGCTTTAAAATTAGGCCTCAAAAGTAGAACTCTGGTCCTGTAAATAGCGGGAGAGTGGTGTGTTTGTTTGACATGTGGGTCAAACAATCAGCAGTGACTCTTTTTCTCAGTGAGTTGTGGTCTTCTCATGTTTATCTCACGCTGTCTCACCTGAATAGAGCAGCGGATTATTGGGTAGTCGCCTCCAAAACCGGGCTGCCATGATATATGTAGACTAGTCGGAGTGATCTCCAAAGCTTGCAGATTCTGAGGCTTTGATGGGAGGACTACAGAAAGAAAGACATCATGAATAAAGATTAAACGATAAGGAATAATACAATAAAAAAGATAGAAAAGGAAAAGTGTGTCTAACTGGTGCTTCCACAGTGACACCTACCCGTGATGGTTCCAGATCCAGAGGTGGCCACGCCTTTGCGGTTGTGGGCCTCACAGGAAAAAGTGCTGGTCCTGTTCAAACCTGGAGGAGAAATGAAACAAAGCATGTGAGGCGGGAACATTTAGGGGTGGGGGGGTTTTAAACCAGGAATCCTTGCTCAGCATGCTGAGTCGCACCTAATGCTAATGTAAGAAGAAACAGTGTGAAAGTTGAAACCAAAGTGCGAATAATGTGAGGGTAATAGCTTCCAGGAGGTAACGGGATCTCTGTCAACAGTATTGTGATTGGTTCTGGGGTTAGCATGTGTTTCAGAATCACAATAACTGTATTTGTCCCACAGAGGGGACATTTACATACAGTAGTTACAGCAAAAGCGAAGATACCTTTTTTTGATGTGAAAGTACATTTTTAAGAAATTGGCCTTCACGAGACATATCAGTTTTAGCATTTCAATAGTTGTGTTTCTTTAAGTAAAATGTGTCCTGTAAAGTCTCTATGTAACACATTTTATTCTTGTTCATATTTGTAACAGTGTCTCTTATCACACGTAATTGTACAGCTTTCACTTTGATAACAGTGCCTCTGACAGTCTCATATGTAACCAGAGGTGGAAGAAGTACTCAGATCTTGTACTTAAGTAAAAGTAGAAGTACCAAAGTGTAGGAATACTCTGATACAAGTACAAGTCCTGCCTTCACAATGATACTCCAGTAAAGGTATAAGCATCAAAAGTATACTTAAATTACCAAAAGTAAAAGTACTCATTCTGAATAATATGATATGTTTTATAATGATTGATCATGAAAGTGTTCTCAAAGCTGGTAAAGGTGCAGCTAGTTTGAATGACTTTGTATACTGCAGGGTAGTGTCACGATTCTCATGTTATGTCACGTTTATAGTTTTGTAGGTTTGGATGTTTTTGCTGTTTTCCATGTCATGTTTTCCTTTGGGTTATTGTCTTGTCATTAGTTTCCCTGGTGTGTCTAATTGTCTGATTATGTTCACCTGGGCCCCTGTGTTTTCTCCTCCCTCCTCACCTGTGTCTTGTTGTGTGATTGAGTCTTGTGTGTATTTAAGTTCTGGATTGTCTGTCTGTCTTGGTCGGTTCGTACTGTCACGGTTTGTGAAACAAGCAGGACCCAAATGCAGATTTAAACTGAAACTTCCTTTATTTCAAGGCTATGATATATATAGACAATGACAAAACAGAACACTCACCGCAGAACTAGTCAGGGAACAAGACGAACCGACCAAGACACCTGACTAGCCCACATATTGTCGCCATTTTGAACTGACAGTGTAAACGTCTACCACACACACACACACACACAACACACAGAACTAAGCTCAATACACTGTAATGACACTCCAGAAGAGACAACTTTCAGTCCACACACAGTTACACAACACAAATTTCCCGGGGTCAGATAAACCTCCGACCCTGAGTCGGAGAATGGCGGGCAGTGTGACTGCCAGCACGCAACTCGAAGATTGCGAAAGACGGGTAAGTGAACTTACCCACTGCAGGGCGAAAAGGCTTGACGTAATAACCCTCGTTTCGTAACGAGCCGCCTCCTTTCGCAGTCGGTTAGTTTAGTATACGGGTCATGTTCGAGATTGGTTAGTTTTGGCGGCAGAACACACAGGCCCCGCCCTCTAAGTACACTAACCAACAACCAGCTCAAAGTCTGATTTCGAGTGGCCGTTCGAAGTTGTGTCGCGGCACACCTGCCGACGGTAATGTGGACCTGGAGTCGTGCTCGTGAGCGAAACAAGAGACATATGTGACATTTTTTTTTACAGTTCGAGTCCGTATCCTTGATGGTGTGTACGTCGGGCTCCTCTCTAAGAATCGATATCTCAACTATTCAAGTGTACATAACTCTATACACCATTGTGACAGTAATCTTGTTTAGTGTGCCTTTCCTAACTTCAACAGCGTCACTTTCTGATGAACGAGACAACTTCTAAAGACTGCAAGTCTAATTTATTTTTAGATACAAAGTTGTCATTATAGTCATTCTTTATTACCCGTAAAGAATAAGTTTGAGCAATTGTACCTTAGGGTATTTGGAATGGAAAATTAGTTTACATAAGGTCAAAAATAGGATAGATCTTGGAGTTTATTTTTGTCATGTGACCGTATGTAGCCATAATAAAGTCTTTTACGTGTATTAATAGTTGTGTTGTCTCGATCTCGTTTTCGTTTGTCCCTTTAACATACCAAATCCCGAAACGGTAAATAATACACAGATCATTTTTTTCTGTCTACTTAGTATGTAAGTAATGTTATGTAACGCAGGTAACGGATTATTACTAATGTTCATAAACTCATACTCAATAAATGTAAAAAAACGACGAAACATTAAGATGGGGGTGACGTAATGCCCCCCTTTCACATGAAAATGAGAAAGTCAAAGGAACGCCTAAACCTAATTATTATAACTTTATATGATTAGTTGAGAAATTAGTCTGAAATCAAGGTGGACCTCATTTAAGTGTTTCATGGACAGTGCTAAGAGTACAATACAGTGCAACAATATCAAACATTCCAAACCCACAAAAACGACAAGAGGTACAGTACAAAAGGAAACCCCAAAACACAACAGTAATCAAAGGGACCACACAGATTAACAGACTAATACAAGTGGACCCGGGGACACAAAAGAGAGGGGGAGTGGACACAGAACAACACACTAACTCAGAACACACATAAATTCAAGACCNACATTGAATGTGTTTAATTGAATAGTAAAGGGGTTTAACGTTAGTGGCAGGTTGTGTGTGAGAGAGAATAAATAAGACAGCCCAATATTTAAAAAAATTGTTATTCTTTTTCCCCGCATATTTCGCAACTTTCCGCATATTTAGCAACTTCCCGCAATTTCACCGCATAAAATCACATAAAAACCCCTCATTTTTAATCGCATAATCAAGGAATTTAGCCCGCATAATCAAGGATTTTTGCCCGCGTTTTTCTGGAGGGTCTAATTAGCTGCCTTTAGCTAAGCGATAGTGATGGGTAGTGGCATACAAAAATACATCATCACTTTACAACTCCATTGCCTTTGTTTGTTTTATTGATTAGGCATGAAGAGTAATATTGGTTAGGATAAGTGTAAGATTATCAGGGTAAGCCAATTAGAAGCAGTGTAGGGCGTGTCATGGCATTTCCTTTATAGAAGTTCTCTAGTTGACCTTTCTGATTGTACCCCCCATGGCTGTTTCTGGTCAGGCACTATTCAAAGTATCAGTGTGAGGCAACTTTTCATAGCTAACCTTCTATTTTTTAGGGTTAGGTTTTTTTTTAGATAACTATACTGACTCTTACTGCTGCTGATGTCAGCTAATTCCTGTTTACCTCTTGTCCAGTGTTCTCCCAGCCTATTGTCAGCAGGGCTAAGCCAGAGATGCTTAAGTCCCACTTCATCCCCACGATGGAGAAGCTGAAGAAGCGTTCAGGGAAGGTGGTGGCCGAGGAGGATCAGCTGCGCATGGAGGGCAAGCAGGAGATGGACAGTGAGAACGGGACCATCCGAGATGAGTTCGCTGTGCTGTGCCGGGACCTGTATGCTCTCTACCCCCTGCTCATCCGCTACGTGGACAACAACAGGTAGCTGATCTTAGCAATGACGTGATACATGTGCAGAGAGCCGGTCATCCTAGCATAAGGAGTAATCAGGGGTTTTTAAATCTAGCCGTAGGGGTTCCTTTAAAGGTCTCCTATCATGCAAAATGCACTTTTTTATGTCTTTCATACATAAATATGTGTCCCCGGTGTGTAAGGAGACTCACAAAGTGTCAGAAAACAAAACCCTCTCTCTTTTCCTCCGTACCCAAATCTAAAAAAATGGGGGTACAACGGAGCTGACTTGCTGCCGATATGACGTAATGTCGGAAATGTGGGCTGGCTTTACACCCACGGCCCTATCAGAAACGTTGCAATCAGAAACAATGCCCGATGTGTTTTGGAAGTAAATGGTCTTTGTTTACATTAGCAAGCATCGCTAACACTGGAGAGAGTATGTGTAAAAGATCAGGAAATAAAAAAAGGAACTCACCTTGTGGTAAACCCGCAAGAGAGAAAAAGCATTTGAGCTCCATACTGTTTCAGAAATAATCTTTGATGTAGTTCTGAACATAATATTGCGTTTAATCATGGCAGCATGTAGCTGTATCTGGGTAGAATTCTCCCACATGAGCAGGCATAAGCTCCGCCGCCGCCTCTCTCTTTTTTTTTAAAAAAAAGCTTTATACCAGGGGTGGGGAGCCTCCGGGCCGTATACAGACCGCGAGACCATTTGGTACGGCCCTCGAGTTAATTTATAAACACACGCAAAAAAGAAAAAAAATTAAGAAATCTAGACCGCAAAATAATTAAACAAGCGAGTGCCTGTTTTTCCTGGCCAAGGTCAGGGTCCTTGAACACAACACGAGTCACAACAAGTGTCATCACGTGGTATATGTCTCGTCTGACAGGGGTGTAGTTCTGATGGAGAGCACCAGAACGCAACTCCGGCACTTCACAAATTGCAGTACCCCTAAGTAGCCGTACACATGCCGCAGTTTGTGTGCACGTGCATGCATGCGCGAGTCATGGTGAGATATCTGGATTAAGAGGTTGCTTTTTCTTTGCACAGCATGAAAGAAAGGCCAAATGAATGGGCTGTGATTTTAGTATTTTTAAGCAAAGGTCAATAATTTGTACGGTCCTCAGAGGATGAAATGGCCCTTGAGAGGCAGGGGTTCCCCACCCCTGCTTTATACCCAGAATCAGCATGTTGGTAACAGGGCTGCAATAGAGGGTTATGAGGCATGGCTATAATGGGTGCTCTGTTTGGTATTTTGAGCAAAACACTTCATAGACATGTTTTTATATTTCTTTATATATCTGAGACCTAGAATATACAGTATGCCTAAAAATAGCATGATAGGAGACCTTTAATTTCTATAATTATCGGCTTGCTGCATGTTGTCCAGGTTATTAAACAACTATTTACTAACTAAATAAACAATTTGACACAAGATATTGATTTAAGATACATGATATTTGGTTTTAAAAGGATAGTTTTGCTACCACTAAGAAAATGTTTGCCTTTATAGCCAAGTTACTTAAAATTACAGTACTACTGATCTAGGTTTTCATGCCTCGTTCACAGTTTCTTTCAAATGTACCCGTTTGTAAACACTGCCAGAGCCCATACTGTGTTGCCTAGGGTTTACTTCCTGTCTGTCTTCTTCTGCTGATTTCTCTATCCTGCTGCTCTCTGTGTCTTTATCCTCTTTCCCTCTTTTGCTCTGTTTTCTTGTTCTTGTTCTCTTTGGCATTTCTTTACGGGGGACAGTTTAGCCATGGGTACAAATATATTGCTTGCCAGATATATGCAAAATAATATTCCTTAGTGTTTTCTGATGGAGAAACGGAACAAAAACAGATGTGTTCCCTTGATCAGAGCATCTTTAGCAACGGTCTGCAAACTACTGAATTTACTAATTGACCAATCAGAATCATTTAATCAACTAAAGAGTGTAATAAATATTATTGCTTTCAATTTTTAGTATAACACTTTATAACTTAGTTATAACGTTTGAGCTTATAGCAACACTATTCTCCAGAGTAACTCTTTTGATTTAAGAAAACTGACACACTATTATGGCATTTCATTTGATATAACCACACTTCACTGTTAAACAAATATCAGTATTCAGTGCTTTTCTGGCATGGCCAGTTTGTATTGCATTTTCAAGGGGAAAAGCTTCAGACTTAAAGAAATTCAAGTTAAAGATAGTAAAACCAAAAAGGGAAAATGGATCTACCAAAGCAGATAGGTTTCAATTTAAAAGTACAATATCATCAGTTTGTATAAAGTGATATAAAATGTTTCTGGTATATTAACAGAAAAGCCTTTCCGCTGCTCTTCACTAGGATTTACAGAATGTATTTAAGAGTTTAAGTTAATCCATGTAATTTTCTGTGTGTAGGGCGAGATGGTTGACCTGTCCTGACCCGGATGCAGAGGAACTCTTCAGGATGGTGGGGGAAGTCTTCATTTTCTGGTCCAAATCCCACGTGAGTCTTTGTGTCTTTTATGAGTTAGCTTTTTCGGTTTGGCAATGGTTGTCTTTCCTTTCCCATGTGACATTTATTTTCTCTGTTATTCCTCACAGAACTTTAAGAGAGAGGAGCAGAACTTTGTGGTGATGAATGAGATCAACAACATGTCCTTCCTGACCGCAGACAGTAAGAGCAAGATGAGCAAGGTGAGAGCGGACAAGCAGACAAAAGGCCAAGAAAAACATAGCCTTTCACTAAATGAGATGTTTATTCACTTACATGCATATCTTGAGCTGTAATACATTACGTAACTAAACTCTAATAATGTAATATTTCACTAACACCACCCATTCTAAGCGTTTTTATATCAAACCCCCATCTGAACTTTTATCATCTGTTATTTCCTGTCTTCTGTCTTCCTGTTCCTTTAAGTTGATCTTGATATCAGGTGAAAAATAATAATAATATTCTAAAACTGAAAGAGTAATAGAGTGGTGCAGGAATTAGTCGAAAACCCGTAAAATGAGTTAGCATTTTTAGCACTTTTTGTCAGCTTTTTGTCAGCTCGAAATCAATGGTTTTTTCAAATTCGTTTTTTTTTTAGATACCAAACATAAGGTCTGTGTTGAATTCTAGTTTAAGAGATTTTCTCTTTTTTGTTCAACAACATAAAATATGTTAGTAAATACTCCAAAGGCAAATGTATGAAGCTTTTCCGTGTCTCGTTAGCAACCGCAGCTAGCGCAGCCGCTAACAAGTGTCTAAATGAGACATGTAAAAGTAGTACTAAACTCGATCATGCCAAACACTAGCCACCTTTAGCTTAGCTGTGTTGTTATGGAGTAATGTGAGTGTGATGTAGGTTGTTAATAACCAGTTACTTCTGGCGAGTGCGTTTTCACTTCAAACATTCTAAAAGTGATGATTATAAGTGGAGATTATTCTGCTGAACCAAACAGGTATCATAAATGTTTGTTTGCCCCATTCCGAAATCCAATGAAAAAATTCCTTTAGCTTTTTGACAAGGGAGCCCTAACGATGCTAACTTCACTGCACCACTCTATAGTAGTTAAGGGCCTGAGAGGCAAGTGAGAAAAAATGATGATGATCCATCCTAAGAGTGATCTTAGTTGATGTCCTGAATGTATTGCTTAAGAACCAGTGCGAAGACACTTTTTGATTTTAAGAAAAAATGTATTCCCTTTTACTACGGGGGAGGATTAGCGCCACATGTGTATTTTTTTACGTCTGTCTAAAAGTGATATTTATTTTAGTTGTGAAAATTAAGTCAGAATTGTGAATTTTTTTTAAGCCACTTTTGGTCAGATCTCCACAAAGATGTCACATGTGGCCCTAATCCCATTCCGTAGTATTCCCCCTGCTACTTCACAAATACTCTTAGTCTTGGCAAGTCTTTCACTATTCACCAGTTCTTAAGTGGTACATCCTAGCCTAGATAGAAAACCATTAAGATCAGACCTAGAAAATGGATCACCAAAATAGTTGTCTTCCATATACTAGGCTATTATGACTCACAACATTTTTTTCCAGGACAATATATACATGGTGGTCCATAGTGTTTAGGCAGTAGTAGGAGTGTCGCTAACTGTGTTTTCTCCTTATATCCTGTGTCGCGGGTTGGACGCTGGGCCACTAGGCCGGAGATGGAGAGGTTAGACTTTGTTTGTGCACGAGCGCTGTGCTGATCGCATGGCACCCTGAGTTTTGGGAGGCATTTCATCAAGCTCTCCCATGGACACCGCATTTCTTACACATAGACCCCAAAATTCACACACATACACACAAACAGGGTTATGAACAGGGAAACTTACTCTATCTTAGTTTGTTCACTGATATTGCAAATGCAATATGAATTGCAATATTAAGGGAATTCACATTTTACTTATTCACATTATAATCGAGAAAAATATTGAAATGATAATTTCTTTCAAAGGATCTGTAACACTAAACACTTTTTTTTCAAGTTTGTAAACCGGGACCTCTCTGCATCACACAGTACTTCATTTAGATATTTTCACACACTTAACCTTGATCAAATATTGAATTCGATTTGGATATTGCACTAGTCCATATTTATTCTGAATCCGTGTATCTACCGTCAAATTGTTTTTCTTTATTAAACACTTAAACGGAAGAGCGTCTGAGAGGCCTTTTTGATTTGCTTTTTACCTTACTAAATGGTCAAATGGTCCTTGGAGCGAGGGGCGGGGCGAAACTCATGGAAGTGATTTCAAAACAAAATCCCTCGTTTGCTAAAATCACACTTTGAATCACTACAGTATCCTGCTGAAGGAACGGTAATTATTATAAACAAGGGGAATTTAGCGATCACAACGAAAACGGCCAAGACACATATTGAGCCCAGAAAATGTATGTTATTAAGGGCTGTAAATATAATAAGCCTCTGTCTAAAATGGACAACATTGTTAGGAGATTTAAACTATACAGCGGTTGTGCACTGCGGTCACTCAGCCGTCTCTCGAGTTTGCTTTTTCAAATCAGCTGCTCTTCATTATTTCTGCTATATTTGACAAGTGATACAAATATTTGTTACCACAAGTTCTTAAGGAAACTGACACTGTTGGACTCGGTTCTAGTTTAACTTCTACCAGAAATAAAATGAATTACTTCTATCTACTGTGTACTTTGTGAGTAATCCTCTGTCAGAGTCCCCCTCCATAATGCATGTTTTTCTCCTATCTTTGATGAATGATACAAATGTCATTTTACCATTACTTCTTAATGAAATTGATACTGTTTGACTTTGTATTAGCCTACTAATTACAATACATTGAAGTAATTTTACTGTGTATTTTTTGAGAAATACTCTGTCAAAGTCCCCTGCTGAAAACAAAATCAAGCCACTTCTGCTAAGTTTGATGAGGGAATTCTTTTTTGTTGCCATTAGTTCTTCGTGAGATTGATCCTGTTGGACTCAGTACTACTGAAACTACCGTAGTTTCAGTAGTACTGAGTCCAACAGGATCAATCTCACGAAGAACTAATGGCAACAAAAAAGAATTCCCTCATCAAACTTAGCAGAAGTGGCTTGAT